TATTTAATTTTCAACTTTTTTTTATGAATAATCATTCTATTTTTAGTTATAGCACCAACCAGAAAAGTATAATAGATATATTTTTTAATAATTATCATAGTTTTAGATATAAAATATTTAATATTTTTTTATATTTATTTAATATAGGTCCTGGAAATATTCGCTCTAAACATCATCGTACTGTAAAAATAAATGACATAATCGGGTCCGGGAATTCGTGCGTGACAGGTGCCTGTTATCGAGTAACGTGAGCTATTTTGCAAAATGTTTCGAAGCGGATCTCGTAACAAATACAGTGCTCGTAGTTTACCATTGTGTGATTTCAAAACCTTGAACGGGCACTCGATCGCCTACATGAATTCGAAGGCGCAACGATGGTAATAGGCGCGCTTGATCATTTATCCATTTGCACTCCAGACATTTATTTAATTTCTACCATTTCTCACGCTCGTACAATTCATGCAACAGAACTTACTGCATCGTGCGCGGCATTAATCTGACGTTCATTAATACAGCAGTTATGAATATTCTGCAATCCGCTCGCACACCAGTAATGATCTCCGGCTTCCACACTGGCCCACGCGCGACCTTTCACGCAGCATTCGCATTCGTTGAAACAAGAAAGTGGAAGCTGTTCACACACGGCGACTTCCGACCTTGTTTTTCTTAAAATTAATTGGGAATGACCGATTAATTATGGCTGCTCAATAATTAAGGACTAATCAAATCAATATTTTATTTAAAAATGCAATTTTTTTTTTATTCAAGTTATAACGGCTTTTGAAATATTCGGTTTTGGGTATGTCCAGTAATTTTTATCTATGTTTGCAATTGAAGACATTTGCAAATAGAATCGTTGACATGAATTCGTGCAACTGCAAATATCAGAGCACGCTTCAGTAGAAATTAAATCTAATTAGCGTTTAATCGTGAATCATTTTGTTGATGACTAATCAATTCATACATTTACAATAACACATTTCTATATAACACATTTCTATATAACATATTTCTAGTATATTATCAATTTTAAAAACTATATATCATATATAAAGATAATATCTATATAGATAGATAATAAAAGTGTGTGTGTGTGTGTGTGTGTGTGTGTGTGTGTGTGTGTGCGCGCGCGCGCGCGCGCGCGACTAAAATTAATTCGGTATTATTTTAAAATTAATTAGTAATTTTACTAGTAAATAATTAATAAATTTACGCTTTTGCTTGAAAAACTTCGATTTAATATAAAATAAAAGTAAAATAAAAGAAAATCGAGGCATAACGGGAATAGTTACAATAGTTTAAATTAATTTTAAACATATTAAAAATAAATAAATCAACTTGGATTAATATTAAAATATCCTTGGAATATCTACTATAGGAAAAGCACAATTTTTATTGCAAAAGAATAGGTTAAAGGAATTATTATTTTATTGAAAACATGCATTAATCTCATTATGCTGTGGAGCATAATGGAATATTTCATAAAATTTGCTTATTTTTTAAAAATTAATATTTAAAATTTCTTAAAAGTGACTTAAATCACGTAGGAAACAATGGGAATATATTATTGCACTTCTAATTAATAATAACTTTTTATTAATGATATTTTTTTCTTATACATATATATTTTATCTATTATATATTATATGTCTGTTATTAAAATATAAATGAATCCCTATGTCTGTTATTAAAATATAAATGAAAATTAAAATTTCTCAACATTGATTATTATAACATATAATAAATTTGATATAAAATTTAATACATTCAATACGCAAAACATAACATATATATTTATAGCATGAACAGAAAAAATAAAATATTTTAAGTAAAAACATTTTTAAAGGTTTTTTTTTAATTAACATTTTAACAGTATTACAATATTACAATATTACATTACCAATTAATATCAGAAATCATATTACGTATTACTTCAATGTTATTTTTAACATTACATGTTTGTTAATATAAGGAGGCACTATTCTTTTGTATATTAACCGAATATATAAACCAATTCTTGGTTTATAGAAAAGCAATATCGAAGAGCTAATCTTATTTTTACTGCCTTATGCCTTGAAGTATATAAATTTATTTTAGATAATATAAAACGTCATAGATAATCAATATATTTGCATAGATACTTAAAGTGACAAGAAAGGATCATTTAATAACATAAATGTGTTTATGGTGGTAAAAAACAGAATTTTATTATTGCTTATTTTGCAAATGCATAAAACAATTGCAACTCAATGGAGAGCGAATTATTAAATAATTTCTAGCAACTTTCAACTAAAAATAATAACAGTTGATAACAACATACAGTAAGATACATCTAATAATAATTATTGCATAATATTTCATTACATGGTAATACCTCTGTAAAAAGTTATCGACTATACCCCATTATACTCCGCGATTTCATTATACCCTCTCCTATAGTGTAAAATAGTATGAATATAATTATGCAAGGGAAGGAATCAACTTTAGTAATAATGTTTAAATTTTCAGGGGGCACTATGCAGACCGAAGAAGTCGTGCCGCATGCACAATCTGTTGATATAGACAGTGATCTCATTAACAGCGCTAGTTTGCAATATCATTTGCATCATTCGGCACATTTACATTGTCCATTATCGCCCCTGATTCACATGGCTGTCAAACAGGAACCTCAGGAGGAGGAAGAGCGAAGTCGCGATGTTAGCACGTTGAGGTGTGCAATACCCTGTAATATAAATTTTGTAATATTCTATAGAGAATAATTTATTTTTGTTATATGCGTTGTTGTGTGTGACATATTATAAAGATAAAACACATAACAATCTTATTAAAATTAAAATTCAATGTGATGAGGATCCATTTTTAATAAAGTTATAAAAATAACTCAAAATATACATAGTATGTTGGTTTTAATACCTTCTTTTAAATAATTTGAAGCACCAATAAACGAAAGTTTCTTGTGCTTTTGATAGCCCGCAAGTGGACATAAGCAACGTGGCGAGTTTAATGGACAACAAGCAGCACGAGCAGCAAATTGGTAATCAAGTTCAAGAAGAAAATCCAACATTAACCGTTCCAGACACCAATAACCGAGGGCGACCTAGGTAATTTATCTACCTTTTAAAATTTATTTTATGCGTAATATCTTATCAACAATCAAATAAGTATAACAATAATTTTCTTTAAGTTTCCTTTATATACAGGGGGATTCAAAATTACTCATATGTCCTTCCTAAGAGACATATTTCTAATCGTACACTGTATAAACATATATAAGAGTACATCCAAAATTTGGATTATTTATATTAAATTTTTGTTTATATTAGAATTTATATTAGAGATTTTACAACAAGAGAAAATGCATATGATATTTTTATATAGATATTCCTATTAAACAAAATATTTTTATTTTTTAAATAAATCTAGTACGTCTAAGGAGCATGATAATGTTTAATTATGTTTAACGACGGCTTACATTGTCACGTAGCGCGATCCGCGACAACGATGCAACTCGGGCTTATCTTTTTTGTCATATCTCTAATGACGTCTTTAACGTAAATGGTCAATGTCCAGGAAAGTACGTTAAGTACGATCGTCATGTCGGCAAGAAGGATAGGCGCCAGGAAACTGGTTCGGCCAAGCGAGTCTTCTAAAGCGATGTGCGCGCAAGGATACATGAGGGAAAAAATCGCAGATACACGTTAGTGAAACGTGTCGCGAGAAAGTTGATTACCGTTATTATTGAATTTCATTAAACAGCTCGATTGCGACTAGAAAAGAAGAAGCGCGTCACACGCTTTCCGCAGACGAGTACAGGCGCCATATACAAAACACTATTAACATTAAAAGAGCATAAGAAATTAAAAAAACGAAAATGTAAACAAGAAATGTTCAGTAATCAGTAAAAATGCATAATTAAAGATTAATAAGAATGCAAAATAAATCATTCTTACTTAATAAAAACTTAATATTTAATATTTAATTAAAAACTTATTTCTTTAAAAAAAAGAAAACTTTCGACTAAAGTGTTATATTAAATATAAACTATATAATAATAGTAAATTAAGGATTGAAAATTTTAAGATTGAAAAAAATCGTAAGAAAAATATAAATAAAAAGAGTTTAAAAATTAAAAAATTAAATTAAGGTACTTAATTTTTAAGAAAAAAAACAAAAAATTAAAATTAAAAAAAAAACAAAAAGAAAAATAGTAAAAAATAGTTTAGTAAGTAAATTACAATTAGAAAAACGTACAAAAATTAAGAAGAATAAAAATAAAGATTAGAAATTAAAATAAAATTAAAATATAACGGTAAATTATTATTAAAGATTATATTTAATAATTATTATTAAAGATTGAAGGAATCTTCTTCTTCTTATGACGCTGTCTCCTTCGAAGGTTGGCGATCCAAATGGCTAACATGGGCCTGGAAACAGTCATTCGAAAGACGTCCACTGAAGTGTAGCAAAACCATCATCGGATATCTTTAACCATGAGTTTTGACGCCTGCCAATAGATCTCTTCCCTTGAATTCTCCCCTCAATGATCAGCTGCTGTAGCTCCTATTTTCTATCTCTCATTATGTGCCCAATGTATTATTAAATAAACAACTCGAGAGAAAAACAGTTTTTTCCTCGACCACGCCCGAACATAAGACATCAAGGCACGGATCATTGAACAAGGACAATTCGCCATAATACATGTTCTTCTTCTTCTTTTTCTTCTTTTATATAGAAGAAGAATGCCTCTTCTTCTTCCATATATAGACTTAAAGTCTGTTTTCTAAAGTCTTTCTTCCTCTTCATATACCTGGGGTAGTGCGCACACAGGTGATACACAGAAATATGGGACCTGCAATTTAACGCCGGTTCCAAACGGCACACTTTTTTGAGAAGGGACAGAAAATGTTCTCGTGGTTTGCCAGACCGTTGAGAAGAAATACGAGCATTTGGAATTTGAACCTGGGATCTCTGATACAGTAGACTAGTGCGCTATCCACGCTGTGCCACGCTCGCTTCATAACTCATGTTGAAGACTAAAATTATATTAAAATTATATTGAGATCACAAGAATAGGACAAGTAGGCTTTTTTTTTTAAACAAGTACTTTCTATTCAGTTAATAGAAATTAACAATTGACAATTAATCAAGCTAAATATTATCAGATTATGAAATATTCCAGTCGTGGCCGCAGGAAATCACGATGGAAGCTCAAATTCCATCATCAAGCATTACCACCGGAATATTTGGATCATTACGAGGCATCATTAGCTCAGGAAAATTTGAATTTGTCGCCACCACGCCTCATTGAACCAGCAGCAGCTAGTCCAGTACCGACGAGCACGACCTCCACTCCAAGTCCTGTCACTGATGTCCATGGTTGGTTGCAACGGATCGCGGCGATGCAACAGGAGCTTTGCCCGCAGATCATATCGCCTCAATGTTCAACAACTCTCGGTCATAATCAAATCGTCGGTAGTAGGAAATCTGTCATTACATCTGTATCTTCACAGGCCTGCAATACGTCTTATTCCAACCATCATATCCAACAGACGCAGTCGCAGACGTCTAGCAGGCCCCCGATGAAATATTCTGATCTACCGTACATGGGTGAAATCACTCTCGATAACAGCAAACCTAGACGTGGTCGGAAACCGAAGAAGGCCGATATATGTCACTTGATCTACAAAAATTATGGCACGATATTGCCAGGCACGCCTGGTCACGAGGAAAGAAGATTTTCGCCTCAGGATAAACAAGATTCTCAAGAGCAAGTGCCGCCTCAAATATCTTTCCAAAAGACAGATGTCCAGAACAGGATCAGCAGTTTGTTGGAAAAACGATTGACTCAGGAGACTCGACGGAACTTGGCATTATCTGAAAACTCGCGGGAGCAGGATGAGCCATTAAATCTTTGCATTAGAGATCTTAACCAGTTGAAGATTAGACTGCTGCGAAAACACGGGAATGTATATGAATCTGGTCAGGTGAAGAGCGAGACGTCTAGCGATGGTGAAGAAGTAGAATGTCTAGGAACGAGCTTTCTATCAGAATCGCTCAATTATTCAGACTCAACTGATCATCGATCGAATAATAGTATTGTCAATCATAATAACAATGTAATCGATCCTATGATTGGTCACAATTCCGGCTTCGTATATTGGCCGAACGCAGGAGTATTTATTCATCCCATGGCGTTGCAGTCACAGTTACTATATTATCAAAAAGTCGCTCAAGACAAATGTCCACCGTTGGCATTAGATCCACCGCCAAGGGAACAAAAGATCGTGCCAAAATCAATATATTCAATGATGGAGACGAAGAATGTGGCTCAAATATCGGCGTTGCCTACAATTCAAGCAGTGTCGGCTGCTACGTCCACTTCGCCTAGACCGAAGAGGAATGTCCCTTTAGGGCATCAGCAACAGAGTCAACCGACCAAACGAAAACGGTCTGCCATATTTATACCCCCGATGCCAACTGAGAACAACAATAATCCAGCGACAGAAGTAAGCATATGTAAGTTTAAATTTACTGGTGGTGCTAAACCCAGTTTGCAAGAAAAGAAGAGTCTTTCTGTGGACTCAGGCGGCAATTTCCGTTATTATAGTGGTACTGGTGATAAGAGCATGCGCGGTTATGAATTCTTTCCTAGAGAGGCTCTTCAGCAACCGGCGGGCCAATCTGAGACTACTTCCGCTGCTGGGGCCTTTCTTAATGCTGCTGGTGAAAGACTTCAACTGCCGACCGTGTGTCAGAGGAGCCCGATCAGTCAGGATGACGGTCGACGAAAAAGGAAAACCAGAAAATCTTTGCAGCGCGAAAAATTAGAACAGACTTTTAAGGAAAAAGGTTTTCTTATTCAGACGCAACAATTGCAATCCGCAGAGGGTGCTACCTATTGTAAATTTCGACAACTCAGAAAGTTTACGAGATATCTGTTCAGAAGCTGGAAAGACTATCTGCCTGGAAATGTGCGCGAACTAAGTGGCTGTGGTAGTGGAACTGCTGTTACAATAGATAATGACGTAGCTGACGTTGAAATCAACAGTGATGCCGCTCTCGTTCATACGCCACTTCCGCGGAGCAATCTATTGGATGTACCGAATAACTTCGTAGAGGATCATCGGACTCTACCACTCACGTGAGGTTCAATATTTGCGAGCGAAAGTCATGATACGATGCAATTAATGTTGCTCTTTGTCGTTGAATTTTTTTTGAAAATTTTTTGTTTCTAATAAGTTTAACAAAAACTTTTAAGTAAAAATCATAATCAAAAAATTTTTTTGAACTTATCTTAAAAAAAAAAAAACAATATGGAAATATTATTTGAAGACTCGTTAATACTATAATTGATAGGTTTGATTGATAAGAAAAAATAATTCTTTGATTATATAAGATTTTTCAAATATGAAATTTACTGCAAATCAAGATTTGTTGTATTTAATTTAAGCTTTAATAAAAAATAATTAAATTTTAATTTATTCGTGCAATAACTGCGAATCTTTTTTACATAGCGTGATTCATGTTTTGTTTATCAACATATTTTAATTGGAATTGAGTTTTGTTTGCAAAATATCGGATACTTTCCGATATCTCGATTATTATGCAATATTTTGTCAAATACACGAAATTTGAACAATTTAATAAATGAACTTTAAACAATTTTAATTAAAAAAATTATGTTGTGTGTGTGCGCACACTTGTGTATATAAAATTATTATCAAAATTATTATCAGTATTTCTTATTATGATAAATTTTGATAGCAATAGTATCATGTCGTGACATACCTCATGAAAGTAAAGTAAACCCGATTATAGTTTAGTGCCAAAGATGAGAGACTGGAATGTACATAAAATCACAATACAGAACGGGTTAACCAAAGAGTGGTTTTACTCTCGCCATGATGGATTTAAAGTTATGCAGTAGTGGTTTTTTTTTTTTTTTAATACCATCGGACTGCGATGCATTTGGTATCAAAGTAAGATATGTATCAATACCATCATATTTTGTTAAGCAAATTATTGAAATATCGTTTCTAACGAAATCTAGTCTTATTTATATTCTATTTAAATTGTAAACATGTTTTTTCGTTTTTACGTCTGAAGAATATTCTTATAGGATATTACTGTGCGTATAGTAGCAATTTGGATATTTTAATTGACATTATGTAATTGATCATTTTTTCAAGATCTGCATGTTAAATATTTGGACAGATGTCGATATTATAGTTAAACTCGTAATTTTCTCTAATTAAAAAATGAAACAATG